TTAGTATATTCCAACTAGGTGTGTGGCATACTATATAAATAGCTCTCGTCTTTTATGGAAAGGGGTCTTGCTTTACTATTTTGAAATAAACTAGTTCTACCACACTATACGGACTTAACAAAAGCTATTTCTTTTTTGCAACATATATGTTGTCAAGTAAATAAACGAAATCGTTGAAAATCAAATATTTGATATTAAAACATATTTTCAAAAAAAAAATCTTTGAACATTCCATTTGTTTTCTTTTTGTTTCTGATTTCAACGATGAAGTGATGAATTGCATTATATCGACTTGATAACACAATTTGAGAAAATGTTCACATTCACATTCACAATATATTTATTGACGATGAGAAAATCACCCATGTTATCACGATATCCGAGGTTCTGTGTGTAGATGATGATCTTTTCTGCAAGAAAAAACTGACCATCGCCTGTGGAAGAATATATTTATTATTATACCGATAGCCGATTTATCACGGATGTTGTCAAATCCGTATACAATATTACACAAAAGATATAATTAAACTAATGATCTGACAAATAAAATCAATCCGAATGAACTGGTTAGAAAATTCACTTTTAATCTTTTTGAGCAAGTTTCATTTCTGTGGATGATTCTTGCTGCTATCATAATCTTTGACATAAGATCAAGAAATCATTGTCTACTTTAAACAACTTGGTCAGCTCATATCGACGAACAATAGTATTTAAAAAATCATGAACCAATTTCTTGCGAAATGTTCATCGAAGGTAAACGATTAAATAATATCTGAAATCTATTCTCTACTCTATGTCGTGCAATTATAAATAAATAAAAGTTATTTATTTATTTGATACCATACTACACATACAATGAATAAGTAAGGAAAATGATTTATAGTGATAAAATGACATAGGGTACAACAACATTCTTTTTATGAACGATCAATTAGTTATTTGTCTCTCTCGTACATTAATGACTTGATTAGTTGTAATAAACATTGTTCGACGTCGATACATATTTTGAATCGTTTCTCGTATTTCTCGATCTAATAAAATATTAAACACTGCTGTAAGTGTAACAGAAAACATTGTACAAACAAGACTTATATGATAGAGTGAACCAGAGGAAACAAACCAAAGTATTGCAGTTGGTGATACACCAACTATCACCATACCAATGAAAATCAAAATATTTCGTAGAATTTTCAAATCATTTCTTGAATTGTGAAGTAGATTAGCTGATGTTGTTGCTCTGACATTTCGTTTTATTTGACGAACTCGAATGATAATACAAATATAAATGAAAATCACTACTAAAAACGGTACCAACAGATTGATAATCTGAAAGTAGGCATCGATTGCTTCATATCCATTGATGAGCAAACACAGAATTCCCGGATAGTAACGAGCCGTGTCAAATATAAGCACAGGCAACGCAAGAATTAACACTGTTAACCATTGAATTAATATCATTATATAATGTGTTCGAAATGTTGTTAACCATCGATATTTTGTGGATAAAATTGAGAAAAAGAAACGAGAAATGGCTTGAGTTGTATACGATTGCATCATTCCCCCAATTGATACATAAGTAAAGTAAGATCGTAATCGACAAGTAAAATCACTCGTATCCCAGTAGATATAAATTGCATGAATATAATTAATTATATAAATTATTGAAAGATACATTGATCCAAATGATGTATTACAAATAAGTAAATGATTGACCGTATGTAAACGAGGTTTTGTTCGATAAACTAAGATGAAAATGAATAAATCTATAGCTATACAAATAATACCAAATATTGACGAAAGAAGAGCTGCTGTGCGAAATTCAAACATGTCAGAAATGAAAATAACGTTTGACTTCGAAAGTTTATAGTAACAAAAAAAAAAGAAAAGTTAATGGTTTATTCAAATGTGAGTAATGAAATAAATAGTTTTAGTTTGAAATTAAAAAGAAGTTAATGTTATGGAAAAGCAATTTCATTGGAAGAAGAAATGCATTTTTATCTATTCTATTTGAAATCTAATAATCCAACCTTGAATAACATTAGAGAAAGTGATCTAATTTAGTTATTTTTAAAATCAAATCAAAGACAAATAATAATATTCTTGTTAATATGTTTTTCTTACGTTTCTTTCTCTTTGAAAAATAACACGCATGATGTTCTTTCATGTCTGATGACGAGATCCAAATTAGATTCAATCTAATAATCAAACACAAATCTCGATTTGATGATAAATTTCATTCTTTTTCCGAGAATAATTTTCCATATTTTGATTAGACTTTGTATTCGAGCAAAAGTTAACTGAGAACAAAGTATTCAATTTGACAGCGCCACACATAAACTGAATTTGCTCAATTTCTGCAATGTGCAATTAATTATCTTTACACTCGATCTCACCACTATAATCTTTTCAGAATAAAAATACGCACTTTTCAATACAGGATTAATAAACAAATTGTCTGCAAAATAAAAATGAACTGATTCTTTCTCGAAACACTTGATAGAGATGCGTAGAAGGCATATATCTATTATGGGCAAAGGCTCAAATAACTCCGTCTATATTCCGGACATGAAGTTTATAGTCAATTATCGAACTTTTGCTTTTCCTCTTTGGAGTAACGACAAAAGATGAGGTGAGGTAATTCATGAAATAACATCGTCTATGCTGAAGATGAAGACTATCTGAAAATAAAATCTTTTCATTGAATTAAATTCTATTGGTACAACCATCTCGATGAAAAATTCTTTTTGATATTCAATTACTTCTTTGCACAAATAATTATTTGGTTTTATTCATTCTTGGTACTGTAACATTGATAATGAATAGTGAAACTTTTCAAGGTGATTTGAAAGACATCGATGACGAATATGAAACGTTCATCTGTCGAATTCATTTGTATCTTTTCGGTGTACTTACTTCGGCGATTTATCAATCGTTTGTTTTTTTTTGTTTCTAATGAAAAAAATGAAATTATTTTAGTCGATTTTTCGTGTTTCTCATTGGTCAACAGTTGATTTCTGATGAACATTTTTCGTTTTAGTCCTAAAACTAATGCTCGAAGTATTCCGTATTCAACTTTGAAAATTTACGGAATTCCTTTTGTTTTGATTTCATTAATTTATTTTCGAATAACTCGATATCTTCTTGTTACTCTATTAGAAACATGTGATGTTCTCATTGTTATTATCTTACTAATTTTTGTCTTTACAAATCCATTCGCTTTTTTCACTTATCGTGTTTTGACTTTGAGTTTATCATTGATTTGATTTATATCACACCATAAATTAGTGATCAAATGCAATTTGGTTGTCAAAGAATGAAAGTGATTTCGATCATTATTGAACAAAGAACGATTCGTTGATTTTCAAGGATTCTGTTTTGATTTTGTTTAATAGAGATTTCTTTCTGGAGAATATTTTATCTTCAATAACGTTGTCAGATTTCTCAAATAACAGATAAAGCTTTTGTCGATCAACAAAAGTTGCGAGAAACGATATAAACATTTGCTCACATCCTTATCTTCATTTGACGACTGTTGACGATAAAATTATGAAAAGCAGCTTTTATAAATTATCAATCTTTGATTTCAACAATACAACAAGAATGAGAAGTTTTCTCACACGAATCAGTCGTAGAGCTCGTTGATATTATGAGAAGTTGGATTTGTAAGGTTGTCAAAAGTAATGATTTCAATGATCAGATGAACGTGAATGATCATAATAAAGATGACAACGTATCCAAACAATACAACAGACAAATACAATAAATATAATTGCGATATCAAAACAAATATAAATATTATTAACATATGTCAGTTTGATCATTGTAATCAGAAACATTGAAATATCTGTTATAACATCAATAATAATAATACAATGAATAGCTGATGTCGTTATATTTTCTTCACTTTTATTATACACTAATGTTAATGGAATGACCCAAATAAAAAGATTGATAATATAAAGCGCGAAATACGCTTTTATCGTATCATCCCAAAACGATATATGCGATTGTTTGAGATACAAAATCATAACGACAAGATGTGAAATAAGATCAGCATATTCATAACTCCATAGTATTAAATGTCTAAAATAAAAATTCATTCACTAAGAAAAAAGTCGTTACTGATAGATGAGAAGTGTACATTATTATTTTAAAAGATCATAACAAATCTCCTGTTTTAATGATGCTTATCATATATTTATAGTAGTACGTCCGTTCAAACACTAAATACAGATGTTTACATTATTGTCAACCATAAAATATGATGTATGTGATCATTTTATCAATAATATTCCTTCTAAAACAATAAATAGCAATCGATATGAATCGTTTGTCAACGCATTTTTATCAAGTTTAGCAAGTGCAACAAGTAAACCTGTTAAAGTTAAAAACGCTAGCATTGTCATGGGTAATATAAATCCATCGTAATAACCATAATACATGTCAACAATCGTTATTGATGTAAAATATAACATTGAAAATAAAGGTGATCCTTTCATTATCAAACATGAAAATTCCTTTGGATTTTCATAGGTAATTCGTGGAATAACACCAAATAATATACCAGAAAACAAATATTCGATAGCTGCAGTCATACAAACAAATCCATTACGTATAAAACTAAAACGAAACAAACAGAGAAGATTGGATTGTCGATGTATCATCTATAATCAACTGTATTTATTAAACATTCCAATTCGAATACAAAGTCTCGAACATACTTTAATTTCATCATAGCTACTTTCGTTCACGTCAACCTGATTTGGATAAGCTACTCAATGACATAAAAGGTAGTGAATTTCAAGCTACTATCCCTATACATTTATAAGTCTAAAACCTTCGAAACATCTCTTCAAAATGTTGTAGTATTTTGTACTGTGAATGAATACACTTACTTGTTTAATTAAAATAGATTATGTATGAGATGGTTTTAACCGTGTATCGACGTAGATATGTCATAGAGTTTCGAAGCTTTGTAAACATGAAAAACCTGGTTTTATTCTAGTTTGATACTAATCAGCGTATAACAAGAAACATTTCTTGACAAATTATTTTATTTTCATGGGTTTCGTCCCATGTAGATAAAATAGCGTAATAATAGAAGAAAATTGGTACTAGATAAGATACATGAATCAACATGAAAACTTCACTATAGTTTATCTTCATAAGACGATAAAAAATGGTTATCTTACACACAAAGCTTTTCTTAATTTTCATTATATTTTTTCAATTATGTTCAGAAACCTGATGAAATCCTTCCAGCTTTTTCATGTTCGTATTTCAATCAAATTCAAATCATCGTTGAAGCAAAAAGTGTCAAACTAAATTGAGTCGGTTTTGTGAAAATGAAATTTTTCATCTATTGACAGATGTTTGAGTTATTGAGAGTGAGTTCGTCTCTGGATGTGAGTCAAAATGTTGATATCAAACGACATCCATATGCAACAACACGCTCACTCATTGCTATTACCTTCTGTACTGTTTTCTTATGTGAAAAAAAGTTGGTTGAATTCCATCTAAAGAAGGAGGTGAAATAAATCTGCTTTCTATCGATTTCTTGAGAGTGGAATGTCCTTCGACGAGGGAAACACATTCTTTTTCTTCATTGTAATTCAAATTGACTTTGATCATATGAGACAATAATAAATCTTGAACATTGATTAAGTTCAGATGTTTATAGACTAATCTTACAATATTTGAACGAACTCAAGAACATCGATTATTTCGAACGTAATACGAAAACAATTCTTGTGTTCGTCCACAGATATATCTGAAAAAGCAAACGAGTATAAAATTCGTTACGTTCTTCAATTTTTTATATTTATAAGTAAAACACATTGTGTGCGATGAACCAAAAAACTGCACAAGTAGATGATAATCTTATTCTTGGTTTGATCTACGAAGAATTCTTCTCTCTCAATTGAACAAAACGACATGTTTCAAAAAAAGAAGAATCGAAATTAAACTGAATATGTTGTAAAAACAAGATTTCTTGTAGTTTATTTCTTTTTCTGCAAAGATAAGAAAAAGAAAAGTTGAATTGACTATACTGACGCCATATTACAAATGACAGTAATTCAATAACAAATTATCGATTTGAAGAAGATTTTTTATATTCAACTGATTATTTTGTTCGAACTGAAGACTTATGTACCGTATCGAGTAGAGGATTGTGCTCAAATGATCACACAATTGAAACGTCCAGTAAAATTCTCATAAGAAGAAATAAATATGAAAAACAATCCAGAAGAGATTCCTAGTTAGTT